AACACTTGTCTTTTTTTGCTTTCTCTGACAGGGATCTACGCACTTCCTTTGCCCACAGCCAGTAACTAATTAGACTTTTGTCATTTCTTTAAAAAAAAAAAGCATTTTATCCAACAGTGGTGACAGCATTTTGCATCTGTAGATCTGAACCCTGTGGAGGGCTAACATTTACAAACAGAGCTGTGGTAGGGCAAGCTATCTTTAGTTGATCAGTTTATGTTTTATTTTGACCTACCTCTCATAATAAAATCAAGTTACATCATTAAGGATTAAGCTTAAATGCTGATCTTAGTACTGTGTTTTTCTATGAGGAAATCTGCAGGCATCGGGTTAAAGAAACTTTATTTATCATTTATTTTATTTTTCTGAAGTTCCACTCAGTTTAATTCACATAACATTAACCTGTTAGTGGTTCCATAAAGTAAACAGACCATAGACCAGGGGTAACCAATAAAAAATCGGCGAGGTCCGAATAAAGAAAATCAACAACCAGTAAAGGTCCAGAGACATTTTTGATTATAATCTGTTACTTTAAACAGAATTTAACACTGAATTAAAATAAGTTGTTTATGCATCCATGTTATACATTGACTTTTTAAACAATAAAAATATATATATATTTTTTTAAGAAAATGTTTCCAATTTATCTAAAGTATTTTTTAAGTAGAGAACAACAATCTTTCAGTTTGGTATATAGACAATTTCCTGATTCACATATTTTAAAAAACACCTGAACGTTTTTTTTTCTTTCTTTTTTATGCCTTAATAAGAGAAGTGGGCTTTTGGCTGACCTTCAAGGCTTTTATAGAGCTCATATCAATGTGGTCATTCTTAGCCTGGATCGATATTTATTATTTTTAATTCTGTTCGCGAGCTTTCAAGGTTTCACTCGCAGATCAGTCTGGCTACTTTCCATGAAAGAAAATTTGGAGCAGTTCACCAAACGAACGTCCAATCAGCGTTGGCTTTGAGGCGGGTTGAGGTGTGACGCAACGAGAAGTGCGACAGTTCAGTCTAAAGAACATGGCGGCTTCAGCCGATGAAACTAGCGTTAGCGTGGCTATCGAGCAAGTTTTATCGGAATTACAGAGTATTTCTTCACTGAAAGAAGAGCAAAACACTGCTCTGGAGGCTTTTGTCAGAGGGAAAGATGTTTTTGCTCTTCTCCCGACTGGTTTCGGCAAGAGTTTGATCTATCAATTGGCTCATCTTGTCGCTCTGTTAGTACGTCATATGCTTCGTTGATCTGATTGGTTTATTTGGCCCATCAATCAGCTAACCAGTATTTTTGCCCCTTCCCAAAATTACTTCAACGGAAGGTTTCCAAATGGTTATGCGGAGCAAATCCATCTGGCGGAGTCAGGTTAACAGGTTGAGCCAAACATACTCAAAATGTGCAGGGTCATCTTTGAGCACACCATTTCTCTTTTCTGCCACCAGATCATCGCAGTTCTTCCAGCAATCCAAACTCTCTTTCACTTTTTCTCATCATCCTCTCCTTCTTTCCCATTTCCTGGCTTGCCGTAGGTTTGCCTGCTGTGTCTAAAAGTAACAGCAACCCAGACTGACAGCAGCTCATTGGCTAATTTGTATCACGTGTAGCCTGGTCCCGGACGCTCCGGAGGGCTTTACCGTATTAACAGGAGTAGTACCGCAAATGAAATTAGCCACTTCGTTGGACAACATGCGATAATTTATAAGTGTTTTCAATCAGGTTGGGACCATATTAGCCAGCAGGTGGGTCCGGATCCGGACCCCGGTCCACTAATCTGTGATCTCTGTCATAGAGGTTTTACTAACTAGAACTCTCAACCTAGAAACAGTGCAATTTTTAGTATCCAGTAAAGTAAATCCTACAAGCCAGACACCATTTAAAGTAATTAATTAAAACCTCTATAATTAAAAGAAAGGAGACAGTAAACATCTGCATGAAAACTATGTTCTGGACAATGACCCTGGTTCTACTGAGGTCTCTTCTTTTTCCTCTCCACTCTCTCCAAATGCCTCCTCAGTGTAGGATTGCTGTAGAGTCATCTACTGGCACAAATATGCTCATTCAGGGGGAAAATATATATATATATATATATATATATATATATATATATATATATATATATATAATATCCTGCAAAGTCAATGACTTGATGCAATCAGCTTTTCCGTAGATAAAAAACTTAAAAACAAATCTGATTTGAAGTTTGTTGTTAATCCTGTGGTAGTAAATGTAGCTACATGATAAACACTAGAATATCTATACAGACATTGTGTTATTAATTCAGCTGCAGTATTTTAGATGTGAGTAGACATATTTAGTTGAGGGATAAAAGCCATAAAGGTATTAAAAAGTTAGGCATAATAAAAAAAAAAAAAAACAATGTTGGGGCAAATATTAGGGGTTGATCAATAGGTGTTCAGCTGCGGCTTGCTTTAAACCAGCGCACTGGATGCTTTTAGCTGTTATATAAGCAACTGCTAGATATAGTTTATGGAAACAGAATCATGAAGCTCTCTGTTCTTCAACATTTCTAAACATTATATGAAGTTTAAAGGTCGTTATGTTGCCTTTGCAGAAAGTTTTGACCACTGCACATGTAGTTTGGGGTTGTTAGATCCTTCCAGCTCCTTTTAGACTCGGTTTAACTTTTAAACTTTCATTAATTTTATACTATTTAATATTGTGCTTTTTTATGATTGTTGTTTTTATTCAATCTCACACCCATTTCCCTCTGTTATATAATGAAAGAATTTCTTATCTTTTTATTAGCCAATGTCTAATTTAAAGTCATTAAAATTAGGGATGCACGATATTGGGATTTTGGCCGATATCCGATATGCCGATATTTTAAAACTCATGTAGCCGATAACCGATATTGATGCCGATGTTAAAGCTGGACAAAAATAAGTAGTCATTGAAAATACCAGTTTTATTATCCATTTCTGACACTTTGAAAAATAATATACTCAAATATATTTTCATATACTGATATCAAATTGATTTTTAAAAACGCGGTATCGATCTATTTTACTTTCAAAATCTCGTGAAATTTAATCGTTCTGTTACAAACTCTCGTGATATTTTGCAAATTCTTGTGAGATTTTGTTAGTAAAATAGATCGATACCGCGTCAATATATCAACATATAAAAATATGGCAAAATTTCGTGGATTTTCGGGGGATTTCGTAGCATGACGATGACATATAGCAATATTTCATTAGTAAAAGAGATTGATATGGTGTTTTTAAATGGCAATATATCAGCATATGAAGATATTGGGATATTTTAATGTATCAATATTTTTTCTCTCGTCTTTAGAAGTTTTTAAGTCTGTAAAAAAGAAGTTTTTGAGGAAGAAGTAGTAGTATATTTTTTTTAGACTTTAGAAACTCAGAAGCTGATCAAATATCGGGTTAAATATCGGTGGGGTGGCCGATGTCCGATATTCAGTTTTAGAGCGATACAGGCCGATACCGATAGGGGCCGATTATATCGTGCATCCCTAATTAAGATTACATAACTTTTTAATGTTGTTTATGACAGATGATAGGATGTGTAAGAAGTATAATGTTGTTTTCATTAACTGTATGTAAGGAAAAGGTGAAAAAATGAAATTCAATGGATAATTATAATAGTTCTTACAGTTATTCTCATGTATTAGAAAACCACTTACCAGGGACATCATATTGATGCACAGGAAAATGTGAAAAAGAAGCAAAGTAGTTGATAAATTGTCTCAGTGAGTCAAGGTCTTAAAATCAGAACTGCTACTTATCAAAAGGAATCTAGGGCAGCTTCTTTCTATTATGCTCTATTAATCAGACAGTTAAGTCTACAGGATATTACTGAATAGATGGATAATGCGAATGGCACTTGAGGGCCTCCAAACTTTCAAATTCTTTTGTTGACACACTCTTTAATGAAATGAATCGAAAAGAATTTCAGAATGAAATACTAGTGTGTTTTGTTCTTTGAAAAAGTTTGAATCTGGCACTTGGCCAAGGTTTCACTTTTATTTAACTTAGAATTTGTCTTTAAAGGACAAGAATTTCTGCTATGTTCTTCTTGTTGTTATCATTGTTTTTAGAACACTCTTAAATTATTATCTGCCAATAATTAATCAGTCTTTTGTAAGACCTCCAGGATACACTGTACCCGAAGCTTAGTGTGTGTAAGAAATAGATTGAGAACCATCATTTCCTCCCCATAGGTAAATCACTTTAGCAACATGTAACAGTGCAGGTCAGAAGCTGTTCTTGTTTCAAATACTGGTGGTTCTATGTTTCCCTCTCTTCTCTAGTATCTTATTTCTATGGTTAATGGTTCTGGGATCTTAACCTCAGCACAGATATGTTCTATGCTTTATTGGTGATATAATAGACAGAGATGGAGATAGAGGGTATTATAATAAACAGTTATACTGGCCAGCTGTAATCCAATTTAGCACTCTTGAACACAACTGGAGGTGAAGCTTCAGGGTATTTATTTAGCGCTTTTGGCAGCCGAATGAATTGGCATAGAAAGAATGTCTGCATCTGACTTGGAAAGGAGGGATTGGTGAAATGACAGGAAGTGAATGGAACATGTGAACATAGTTGTACTGTTTGAATGAACACATGTAGAATACTTTTAGAAGGGGAAAATGCTGTCTGTGTGAAACGGATTACTGCAGGCAAATTGTATGGAAGCTTTCCTTCTTCTGTCAGTCCGACCCAGGCCAGCTGTGGCTATAGTATAGCTTGATCAAGGTGTAAATGTGTGTATGTGAGAATAAGTCAATGACAAGATGTATGACTTCATGGACCCTATGGACTTGATAAAGCAATACAAATCCAGGCCATTCACTAACTTTAAAAACTTATCAGGAAAGATACCAACCCAAACCTGCCTATTTCTCTCGACTGATGTCAGTTTATTTTTTCAATTGAGTCAGGATATATTTGTAAATTAAAGATTTTGTTTTAGACTCAAGCTCATTAACTAACGGGCCTCTTTTACCTTACAGGTGGCTCGATGGGAGCATCGTACTCGTGGACTCACCAAACTCTTTGGAAGCTCCTACCTGGCCTGTTGCAGTCTAGGACTTGTTATCATTCTGCTCAATGTTTTCCGAAGCCACAGGTAAAAAAAAAAAACACAATCTGGAAAAATAACCCATAAAAATGCCAACGGTTACAATGTTAAGAAACTAATTGCTATAAAAGAAAAACACAACAAAATGTGTCTTATTAGGACTTATTAGGTTCAATTCATCAGTTGGTCCTTCATAATCATTGTTTTATAGATAAACACAAAATAATTTTATTCCAAGCATTAATTCCATGCAAGTCTAATAATGTCATAAATGAGATCCTTCTCCAAATCTTATAAACACCTTCAATAAAATAAGCATAATAAACACCATAATTTGCAATGACTAATTACAGTGCAGGCACAATTATTATAACACACAGAGAGAGAGTGCAAGAATCAGTGGACATATTAACACAATACAGTCCAGTTCACAGCTCTCCTAATTGTGAGGTATTAGTGTTCCTGGATCAGGAAGGGAGGAGGGACAAATTCATCTAACTCACTAAGGGTACACTCTGTGTCCCTGTGGTCTCTGGTGATATTACTTTGTATAGACCTGTATCTTCTACCCAAGGGCACTGGGGGAAGAAGTTTTGCTTCTTCACTGCATGAATGCCTGGTGTGAAGAATTGCTGAAGAGTCCATATTACAATGTAAGCAAATGTCTTCTGTGGCCACGTGCTAAACCAGGCAGAGCGAGTCCTGCAAAGTCAATGACTGGATGCAGTCAGCTGGTTTTCCTTAGATTAAAAAAATGAACTTTATGGTTTGGTTTAATTGTCTTAGCTTGAGATGAAATGTCATGTGAATTGGCACTATATGAATAAACTAAATAAAAATAAATTGAAGTGGTAGATGGGTATAAATACCCCTCTTCACCTGGACAACAGACTGGACTGTAGGAAAAAACCATGAAGCTGCCTACAAGAAGCGACAGAGGGAGCTATTGGAAAAATTAGGTCCTGCAGTTCTTATCTTGTATAAGTCTGATGTGGACAGTGCAATCTCTTCTGCCATCATCTGTTGAGGTATGTTACGTCCACACAAGACACAACATATTTAAGGACACGAGACAAAAGAAGATGAGGGTTCAATCAGTTTTTATTTTCAACTTCTCCACTTTTCTGATCTTTCCTAAAAGGGAAAAAGAAAAAAGATGGTCAGTTGGCCCTCAAATCCCGTGTCCCATAAAAAAAAGAATCGAAAAAAAAGAGAAAAGAGAAACAAAACCTTCCAAAAAGTATTAACAGAAAGATGGACCTGGTGAGCCGGCAAAAAAGAACAAAACGGCACAGCCGAGGGCCAACCCTATACAGGGCCGTCGAAGCCTCAGCTGAAGCCGGACTAAGCAAAAAGGGAAAAAGGGAAAAACCTATATTAAAGAAAAGATCGAAAACAGGACCACCGGTCCCACCAGGCCAAAATCGGCAAACCACAGAAAATAATAAAAATTACCACATGGCAGCCTCGAGTCTCAGTCTCAGTCCGCTACCACGGGTCGAACTCAGGAGCGAGAGAAAAAGCGGCGTCTCAGCAGGGCGGAGTGGGGCGGCCTCACATTCTGAACGCCAGCCTATTTATAGGCGGGCCACAATGCCGCAAATTAATGTAATTAAATAAAGAAAAGAAATAATAATGTGCCCGCAGCACATAACAAGGTAACACTGACTGGCTGGATGTGCTCTCTTCATCCTCTGACATGGGAGTTGGCTCGGAGCTCGCCTGCCTGGCTGTGTTTCCTGGACGGGGCAGCCTTCTACAGTTGTTTTTTGTATGTCTGCTTCTGTCTCCTTGAACCCCAGTCGGACTCGACAGATGACCGCTCACACTGAGCCTGGTTCTGCTGGAGGTTTTTTCATGTTAAAAGGGAGTTTTTCCTCTCCACTGTCGCTACAAGCATGCTTAGTGTGAAGCCTTTGACTCAATGAGTCAGTGCAATCAGCTGGTTTTCCTTAGATAGAAAACTTTGAATCAATCTGACTCTATGATCTGGTGAACTGTAAAGTGCCTTGAGATGACATATGTTGTGAATTGGCGCTATATAAATAAACTGATTTGAATTAAATTTACAACATTAGAGCATAACTTAAAGTTCAGTAAGCTAATAAAGAGGACTGGCTCTGTTTTATAATTTTTAAAAAATCTCTAAAGATTACTTAACAGAGAAAAATTCTTCAAAACATGAAGAAGATTAATGACAACCCTGAACATCCTCTTCATCAATCTGTCAAGGCTGGCTGATTGGTAAATGGGCAAACTGTAGATCTTATTACTTTCTCTTTCCCAAGGTCAACAGCAGATGCTATAGTGGGTATGAAAGAAAGCTTGAACTATTGTGCTTACAGCCTTCAGCTTTATGAATGTCATAATGGGATGGAAACACACATGGATTAGGAGAGTCAAAACCCAGATTACTTGTACCCGTACTTGTTGTCCTCCCTTTCATCTGGGCCTGGGTCACTGGGGCAGCAGTCTCGACATACTTCTAGGTCTACAGCCACTTCCTGCTGCTCTGCTGGAGGAAGCCTGAGGCGCTTACGGTCCAGCCAAGAGAAATAGTCCCTCCATCTTATCATGGATCATCTCTTGAGTCTCCTCCAGTGGGACCTGCCTGGAATTTCCTACGAGAGAGGCATCCAGGGGAATCTTAAAGAGAAGTTCAAGTCACCTCAGCTGACTTAATTCAATTCAGTTAATTTATATAGCGCCAATTCACAACATGTCATCTCAAGGCTGATTGCATCAACTCATTGACTCAAAGGCAATCCCTAGAACTAAGCATGCTTGTAGTGAAAAGGGAGAGGAAAAATTCCCTTTAACAGGATGAAACCTCCAGCAGAACCAGGCTCAGTGTGAGCGGTTATCTGCCGAGGCCGACGGGGGTTCAAGGAGACAGCAGAGATACAAATGGCAACTGTCAACCATCTCCACATGCGGACCCGTCCAAGAAACACACAGCCAGGCAGACAAGCTCCTAGCCAGCTCCCATGTCAGAGGATGAAAGAGAGCACATCCAGTTAGTCAGAGTCAGAGAAACAGGACTACACTGAAAAACAGGCCAAACTTCATCTTCTTTAAACAAAGTTGTTGATGTGCTTCTTATCCATGTAGAGGAGAAGCGCAGTACTTTGAGCCTCTACTGAATGACTGAGCTGTAAATCCTATATCTGTGTCCTGCCACCCTGTGGTGAAAGCTTTAAAGAGCCAGTTAGATAAATGTAATTGTGAAACATAAAAAATGGCAACCACTGACCCACTTATTTTTGACTTAAGTTTCACTACTGGTTGGCCTAATCCAGATTTGAACCAGTGTTTTAGAGGCTTTCCTGGAATCATTGTAAAACAGAGAGGAGATCTGAAAGCACTTTATTAGAAGGGGTGTGCATAAGACAGACATTACGCCATCATACACATGACTGAAAGCTGTCATGAACATGATGGAGTCTTTAGTTACTACTACAGTCAGTAAGTGTGATTCAGTAAATTATGACACATTTGATGCAAAGTTAAAAAAGTTTAACATGTCTTAGTAAAGACAACTTCACATTAACCAAGAAATCAGAACTCATGACATTAGTATGGCATACCATTTTAATTTTTAGATGGATGTTACATTAAACTTTCTAAAGTCTAATAACTTTTAATGACATCTTTAGAACTAGTTCTACAGGGATGTTATTTGGACTAATGTTATTCCAATATAAATATTGCTCTCATGGTCAATAACTGATATTTGTAGATATTATTCTGAATTGTAAAAATTTACCTGTTTAGTTTTACATAGTTAAAAAAAAAACACAAAACTGTTTTAGTGAAATAACAAAATCCCACAATGCATCACTTTCACTTGCTAAAAGAAAAAACACATCGCCATGATGACAGATAACAGATCAGGCCAGCTGGTACAATGTTACTACAGGAATGTGTAAAAGAAAATAAACAATCAGTTGATAACAATGCTTACACTAAGCATGATTTCACAAAACTAATTTTTAGGTATAATCCATGCAGCTAGATAGTGTCTCAGGTCGAGCTTGGCAGCAATGGTGGCTAAAGGGTCGGTTGTACCAGTGTACAGCAGCCTTGCTTCTGTCAGTAAGCCCTAGGGCAGCTGTGGCTACAATGTAGCACCATCCAAGTGAGAATATCTCTCCGGATGGGTGAATAACCAAATATAGTGTAAAGTCCCTTGGAGGCCTCTAACTTAAAAGTAAGGGTGCTCCGATCAGGATTTTTGGGGCCGATCACTGATTGCTGAAAGCAGTATTGGTTGATACGGATGACCGGTCACCGATCACTGGGTCTATCTGAAGCCTTCTATTTATCATGTCAACAACAATAATGTAAATGTATTAAAATTAACAGAAGATAATGAATTGTGAATTGTCAACTGTATGCTTTTATTGACAGAAAACGTTAAAAATTTTACTTCCTTAGAAACATCTTAAAGGAATAGTACATCCAAAACATGATTAGCCTTCATTTTCTACTCACCCCCATGCTGAACAACACTCTGGAGTACTTTTTTGATATCTCAAATGCATCTGGAGATCTGGGAGGCTTCTTGCTGTCTGCTGACATTCAAATAATGGAGGTCTATGGTGCCCGAGGCAGAAAGGTCCATAAAAGTCCACAAAAAACGTGTCAATATTCCTCCATACTGCTCGTCCAATGTATTCCAAGTGTCCTGAGTGGGTAGCGTCCATAATTTACTCGAAACAAAGTCATTTAGAATGTTTTTAGAGCATAAACAGTAGTGTATAGGATTTCCTAAAAGCGCGCGCCTGCGAGTTCACGAGCCTACGGAAACTGCGGCAGACCAAGCCAGATGAAAGTGCGCATTCAGCATCTGCTCTTGATAATGAAAGCGTAGAAGAAGAAATTTGCTGTTTACCTGTGCAAAGAAAGAAACAACGAAAGAAAAATGTCTGAGGACTTCAGTATTGAGGAAGAGCATGAGTTCTTTGCCGAGCTGAATGCGCACTTTCATCTGGTTTGGTCTGCCGCGGTTTCTGTAGGCTCGTGAACTCACAGGCGCGCGCTTTTAG